AATATAAATAATATAAAAATTAAAATAAATAATATATTATACTTTAATATATATTAAATAAGTTATATTAAAATAAACCTTTAAAGATTAAGTAAAATACTTTTTTAATATATTTAATAGAATTTATTTAACTTTTATTTAGTTTTAAGGTATATTATAACTATTAGTAATTAAAATAAGTTTTAAATATACTTTATAGTAAAATATTATTAAGTAAAAACTTAAAAGATATATTTTCTATACTTTAAAATTATATAAATATAATAAAAGTATAATATAAACTTATTATTTATAAAATCTAATAAAATAATAATATTTTAATACTTTTTTATAAAATAATTATATATAAAGTATAATATAAAGAGATAGGAATTTAAATTAAATATATATTAATATATATTTATAAGCTTAATAATAGTATAAAGTATATTAGTTAGAAGCTTATTACTTAATTTATTAAAATATATATTAAAATAAACCTTTTAAAAATTATAGCTATATATAAGTAAGATAGTAATCTATTTTTATAATTAGTTTCTATATAAAGTAGCTATATAGTACTCTTTATATAAAATATTAAAGGCTTAATTTACTTAATATTTCTATTAGTATACTTTTAAAAGTATATAAATTTACTATAAATCTTTATTTAAATTAGGAAATATATATATATATATATAGTTATTAAGTATATTTATTATAGAAGAACTATAAATAAGCGCTATAAATATAACTATAAGGTCTAATTATATACTTATATTAGGTATTTTATAGAATATAAAGTAATAAATATTTATAAAATATAAATTTTAAAATTTAATAATATATTATATATATATAATATTATATTTAATAAAACTATATTTTATACTTTATAAAATAAAGTAGAATAATTAAATATATAATAATATTTAAATATACTTAGTTAAATTATTATAAAAAAGAAATAAATATTTTACTTAAATAGATATTTAAAATAAAGTACTACTTTTAAGTAATATTTAACTAAATTTAAAGCCTTTAAATATATTTATTATAAACTTAAAAGTAAAGAATTATTACCTAAAAGCTAATTATTAAACTTAAAATAAATATTTAACTTAATTATAAGAGTATTAAAGGTATAGAAGCCCTTAATATAAAGTAAAAGCTTTAAAAAGGTATTAAACTTAAAAATAAAGCTATTAATAAATAGCTAAAAGACTCTTCCTTAATAAAAGAATATATTAATAATACTATTATTATATAAACTAATCCTACTATAATTAAACTTAATTAAATTATTTACTTTAAAATAAAAAAGTAATAATTAATAATAAAGGTAAGCTAATACTTATAAAAATATTATTAAAATATAAAAGTATTTTTATTATAATACTCTTTAAGGATAAATATATTAATATCTTAAAAGCTTATAAATAATCTTTTTCGTTAATACCTATATATTTAATTAATAAATAGCTTTAAATAAAGGAGATTAAGTATATAAAATATTATATATAATATTATTTATAATAATTTAATAATACTTAATAATTTAAAGAACTTTAAACTTATATATATAGTAAAGTTATATAAAAGTAAGCTTTATAAACTATTATTAAATAGTTAAAAGAGCTATAGAATTACCTAATAATAGACTTTTTAAACCTATTATATAAACTAAATTAGATATTTAGATTAATAAGGAGTATAAAAGATAGTTAAAAGAGTCTAACTAAAGATAAATTACTTTTATTTAAGTAGGTATTTATATATAAATAGAATTAAAATAGTTTTTAAAATATAGTAAGGCTTAATTATATATATATAAAGATATATAACTATAAAATATACTTTAAAGTATATATATAGTAATACTTATTATAAAATTATTTTAGATTACTATAACTTTTACTACTTAATATAACCTTAAAATTATATAATTTAATATAATAAGTATATTTTAATACTTAATTTAATAAAATTTCTATTTATTATAAGCTTTTAAATAAATTTAAATAATTTAAAAATATATAGAACTTTATAATATAATATATAAATTAAAAATACACCACTTTTATAGTATAAAAGTTTATATTAATTCTTTAAAAGTTAATTTATAAGTTAATATAAAAGGTATATCTCTTTTAAAATAAATAAAAACTATTATTATAATATTCTTTATTAATAATTATTTAATCTTTTATTATTAAAATAATAAACTAAAACTTATAAAATAATAAATAAATTAAAAGAAGTATATAAAATTAAAGATTAAGGAATAACTAAGTAGTACTTAAAGGTTTAAATTATAAAAGCTAAATAACTAATAGACTTTATTTAATATATAATATATATATTAAAAGTTATTAAATACTTTAATATTAACCTATTAAACAATTTAAACATTTTAATACTTAAATATATACTTTTAAAATATAAAGAATAAACTATAAAAGAATAAATTAAAGCTTTTAAAAGTATATAAGCAATTCTATATATAATAATAATAATTTAAATAAATATAATATTTATAATTACTTAATTCTTATTTTATTTACTAAATTTAAAACTAAAATACTTAAAAATAATAAAATAATATATTATTCATTTATTTATTATATACTTTTAATAATATAATATAAAAGTAAAACTCTAAAAGTATTAATTATTTATATAAATACTTCTTTTATAAATAATAAAAACTTAATATTTATTTTAAAGGTATATTATAATACTTTATAATAACTTAATTTATTAAAAATTACTTAATAAAATATAATTATAATATTTATAATAAAAGTAAAGCTTTTAATATTATATATATTAAAAAAGTTTATAGCTTTTAAATAATTACTTTAAAATTTAATAATTAATATAAAAGTATATAAAAACTTTATAATAATAATAATTAAATAATTAATTAATTATTATAAAGTAAGAAAACATTACTATAAAGCTTTACTATATTAATATTTATAATATATAATTAAAATAGAAGTATATTAGGGATTATTTTAAATAGAATATTTATTAATTAAGTTTATATTAATAAATAAGTTAATAAAAGCTTTTTAATAGTATAATTTAAATATTTTAAATATATATTAAACTTATATAATATAAATAATTAAAATTTTTATTTATATAGGGTAAAACCTTTTAAATTATATAAAAATAAGTATATTATATAACTTTAAGCTACTTAAATATTAAATTAATAAAGGTATAAGTACCCTTTTAAATACCTTAATATACTTAGTGTATAGAGTAGTAATATTATTATTATCTTTATTCTCTTTCTTCTTTACTTCTTTCTCTCTACTAAGCTTAATAAAGTTATAATAAAAGTTTAAATAATAATATTAACTTAATAAAATATAAATATAAAGTTTTATATATATAATATAAAGTTTATTATATAAATTAATATAATAAATATATTAATAATAATAAAATAAATTTATTAATTTATTAATATTAACTTTAAATTATTTAATTAGTTTAATAATAGTAATAATAATATAAATAGAGACCTTTTAATAGTTATATTTATAAATATACCTAAAATAATAACTTAAATAGTTAGTATTTACCTACTTATAGTATATATTAATATTATAATTAGTAAGTATAGAGTATATATAATTTAAATAAGGGACGATATAGTAAGTACTAATAATAGGCTTGGCTTTTTCCTTATCCTCCTCCTTAATAGTAAGGAGAGTATAGAACGAATAGCAACTAGAAAGGGGCATAATATTAAGGCGCACCTACTTCTCCCGCTTAAAAGAGCTATATAAATAGTATAGACCCTAAAGGATCTTCTTAATAGACTTATACTATATAAAATATTAATATAAGGTACTTATACTATATATTTAATACTTAAAAATAAGTATAGAATTACCTTATTAGTAGCCTAAATAGCTTTATAGGTACTTTATTTAATAGCTTTTAAGTGAGATAGTATTATATATATATATATATATATATAGGTATATATAAGTATAAAATAATAAGAAAAGGTATAAAAGAGTTTATCTACTTTTATATAAAATTAATAAGTATAATATATTAAAAACTAAAAGTTTTATATATTTAAAGTATTTAAAGGTATATAATAAATACTAATTATTCTATTTATTATTATTTAAAAGTTTATTTAAGTTTATTTAAAATATAAAGTTAGCTTATTATTTATAACTTTATAAGAAGAAAGTATATAATACTCTATTTAAATAATTAATTAATTATTTAAAGGGTGTATTAAACTATAAGTAATTAATTAGGTCTACCTATTATAACGCTCTATTATCTATAAGAATGGGCTTCCCACACTTACTATTTATAATTAAATAACCAGTCAATTTGCTCTATTTAATATGCCCTACTCAGAATCGTGACACCTACAACACCCCCCCCCCCCTTTTAAAAAAAAACAAGGAAATGGTGCCCTCTCGTCAAGGTCAAGGGCTTTCGATCTACACTCGGTTTTAGCACTGCGTTGGGTATCAGTGGGTCGACATGGGCTGAGGAGGTTCGCTCTCGGTCCGCGCCCCGGTCTGTCCGCTCGTGCGAATGGCAGGTTTTTGCAGCCACCGGGGGATGAGAGTCAAAGGTTGTCACGTAGCTTGGTATATATCATCTTGTGGGACAGTACACAGTCTACCTAGGTAACTAAGGGTTTCCCTATTTCTTATGGGCAACGGCGCAGCGATGTCACCCCATAGGTCGTAGATGAAGCATCTAGCCCAGTTACGAGAAGAGAGGCTTATCCTATTGATCAAGCCGATAGTCCATGGTGTAAATGCCACCCCCCCTTTCTCCACGAGCACTCCCGAGCCATGAATCTCAACGAATTGTTTTCTGTTCTATTCAATAGTTTTTGTGTATCTAAAACAACTTGGTGTATGCCGTACTCATGAATGAAGAAACCTTGGATCAAACCAAATTCTTTTAGATGTTACATATGTATATATGATGTACAATCTTATCTAATCGACACAATCCGGGGTATTTATCAATCTTCACCGTAAACGAGCGGAGGCAGCAGAGAATCATCGCCGCCCTTCGAGAGCTGCTCTAGAAGCGCCATCTCCATCCCCGTCATCGTGGATCCCGGCTTCTCCTTGAGCTTCTTAAGGAACGCCTTATCCGCCTCGCTCATCGGCGGCGCGGGCGGGGGCTTGAGCGGGGGTAGGTCGTCCTGTTCGCCAAATCCTGGCTGGTTCGCGGGCGCAAATTCGGGATCATTGTCTGCCTGGGTGCTGGCGAGGTTCCAGACCTTGCCCGGCTCGGAATCGGCCTCGGTGTCCCTCTCGGCGTCTACCTCCTTCTTCCTGGAGAGGTACTGTGCGAACTCGGCCTCGTCGAAGTCCTTGAAGTTGGCGTCGAAGGGGTCTCGGTCGAGCATCCAGGGGAATCGGTGTGTGTTGTCCTGGAGATATGAAGGTATATCTGGATTCGACTCTATCCGGCTGAGATTGGCCCGGTCAAATCTGGAAGACGAAGGGCGTTAGCAGCTCTTCCCCCACTTGACGATGCGTCATGGAAGCTCTGAACTCACAGGTCAATACCCCTCCTCACCCGATCTACTATCCTGCCTGCTCCTTTCCAATGAGGCCCGTCGTGCCAGATCAATCCATGCTGGCCTGCCTTGATGAGTGTGTCTGCGATCATCCCATAACAAAGTTGACATGTCCATCCTCCGTTTCCAAAGACGTAGTGATCCTCGCCTCGCTGCTTGCGTAGCTCATTAGGCAGAATCGTCTCTGGGCCCTGATACAAGGTCGCCTGAGGGTGTGGCCACCACTCCGGGCTGGAGCCGTCCAAGTCGTCCTCCTTTGCTGACTCGTCACCCTTGGGAGGATCTTCGTCTTTGTCACTATCCTTGTTTTTCTTGGCTGTATCTTTGCGCTTGTCGATCCTAAACCACTGGAAGCTGTACCAGTATTTTCTCGTCCGGATCGTTATCCTCTCAGGGATGTGGCAGTCCCTCAGGACTTTCATGGTTTCCGGACGCACGAGCTCCTCAGCGTCTGATACCAAGAGCACGTCCCCCAGCGCGGCCTTTTGAGAGCCCGTGAGAAGTGGCACGACCTGGGAGTAAACGGCGTCGCGAGCTGCAGCCTGATGGTCCCTGCCCGGCGCAAAGTCGGACGAGGACTGGGATAAGCTTCGACGGATGATCTTATTGTTGTAGGGAGCCAGGAGAGTGCCTGATATACCGTCCAAGATGGGCTGGGTGTCGGGTTCCGGGTCGGCCGAGCGGTGGAAAGAGCTTGGCCAAGTGACTTTTGAAAGGTCACGCTCCCACCATTGAGGCTCGGGGGCCTGCTCATGAGGCGGAGGTTTGATAGTTGGGGACTCGAGCAGGACGAAGAAGTCCACGTATGGGGACATCTGTGACAGGTGTAATTCGAGCGCGTCAAGGGAGGTTTCGGGGTTGACGAGGAGCAAATCGTATATTTTCCTTGGAGGGCTTTGTACCACTCTGCCATCCTCCTGCACTATTGTCAAATTGTGAAATCCCAGGTGGAAATGTGAGCAGAATTCCTCGGCCTTGTCCATCTGGGTCTCGAGGCCCGATGGAGCAGGTCCATGGCTCTTCCCGGGATAGAAGGGGCTTGGCGGCCCGGATTTCGTGGATGCTGGCCCGTGTTGCAGATGTGTGTCGTCTGCACGATGGGGGAGGTTGAGGCCGATAGTCCAACACAGGATGAGTGCCGCAGTTGCGGCCAGGACTCTCCCATTGTGTGTTGTCGGTAACTTGAGCGACATCATTGCGGGACTTCACAAGAGAGGGAACAGGATGGGCTCCAAGAAGACGGAGCGAGGTGTCCTTGATCATGGCAGAGGACGAATGTGGGCATCAAGGGAGAGGGCATGATTCCCAACGAGAATGGCCTCTCCCTTGGCTCGCACGGCCAGGTCTCAGAGACGGCATCTCGCACGTATAGCTAGCTAGGGGTTGATGCACCGTGAAACCCGTTGGAGATATTCCCACCGTCCTGGGGCCATCGCAGCTTCAGAACTCGCCTCTTCACTCGAGCTGGCCCGACAGGTCATAAGAGGAGGTCATAGGAGGAGGTCGCTGCAGGGCAAATGTTGGCCTCGGTGGTCTAAGACGGGGTTTAACCCTGGTCACAGACCCTTGCCGGCGATCTGGTTTGACGATCGCCCTGGCTCCAGCAATTCCCCCCACGAACGCCTCACAAACCTTATTTTGACTGCTACTATTGAGGAGGAAGGGACCTCGGCGTTTCTGATTGGTTTGCATTTCGAGGTGTCTTTGCACCTGGAGATAACAGAAAAGAGAACATGTCCACTACGGGAGACGTCAGGATTTGAAGGCGGTTTGAAGAGTACCGGAACGGCAAGTCAGCGTGACAAGTCGGAAGTGCTGTGCCTAGTTGGGGTGGGACGACTGGGCATCCCTTTGGCAGGCTCCAGGGAATTGAGCGTCAGGGTGGGACAACTCCGACGGCCGACGATCCGATTCGAGGCTGTAGTTGAGGTGGAGCAGAGGAGCACATGTTCTGCATGTAAGCTCACCTCAGACTGATCCTGGAGCCTGCATAGTGGCTCATCCGACCATGAATGCAATGTATCAGGGAATCGATGGACTTGTCCCCATTTTTATTACCTGAGTCCTCGGTACACATGTATACTCGTCTGCACGTATTTGAGGGGATGTACCTCAGTACTTAGTACCTAAGATACCTATGTACCTAAGTTACTTAGTAGGTAAACTACATGGTGAAATTGTTCCTTCCTTGGGGTCAAAAAAAAAAACATCCACGTTCACATCCCTCGCAAAACTTGAAAGTCCATCTGGCCGTTCGATCTAGCCAATGCATCTTATCAGCATTGCTGTCTTCATCGTTCCTTTCTAATAAGGCGAGGTAGGAACCTGGTAATCCGGGAACCAGGTCTGCTGGAGACCAGGGCCCACAGAGACCTGTCTCGGGCGGATGCTTTTTCATTTGTCAGGCACCAGCAATAGCTTTGGCCTGTCGTTCCTTGCCTTTCGCATTCCAGTCAGCATCGCGTCCCAAGGCCGCAGCCACAACCAGATCAACGCGACAAGCACTTGTGCCGATCCTCATCATAACCTTGGGACGACTGCCCTGAGTCTTCTGAGCTCATAATCCATGGATCCTGTTGTTGATGCTCGTCCCTCGCCCTCTCCCACCTGGACCCGTCAGCACCCGTCAGCACCCGCAGCCGACAACACACAATGCCCACCGGTGCCATCTCCAGAATGTCCCTCCCCACAACGGAGAAGAGGCAGGCCACAGGAGGGATCGGATATCCAGCACACCCGGCCTTTTACATCGCGTAAGAATCCTCGTCACGCACCCATCCCTCTCTAGCACGTCCTGTCTTGTCCTTCTCCGGCCCAGAGCCATCATTGCAGCTGACATGTGTCCCGCCCGCGCTGCAGAACATACATATTCTTCTCCAACTTGACTATCCTCTTCAACAAGTGGTTGATAGATACTGCAGGATTCCGTAAGTGCCTTCAAATATTGTTCCCCAGTTGCCCAGCCACTCGTCCTTGTCGAAGCCAGCCGCAAAGCTAACACCCATTCTCATATCAGCATACCGTCAGTGCCCTTCCAATGCTCATTTGGGCACATCGAATATCACGTAGCACATGCCTGACCTTGGTGACCACACAGCTATTTTCTTGACATTCTGGCACATGAGCTTTTCCGCCATTGCCACGCAGATCCTGGCACGAACCACACGGCTGCTGGATGGCCGCAACAATGTTGAAATGACAGGTCGCATATATTTACGCATCATAGTGCCAATCGGCCTTTTCTACACTGGGAGCCTTGTATGCAGCAACCTGACATACTTGTACATCAGCGTGGCATTTATCCAGATGCTCAAGGTCTGTCCGACTGCTGTGGCCTAGTCGCCTCGTCCAACCCATGCTTAAACCGGTCTAGCTAACCACAACTCCAACTTTAGTCCGTATCTCCCGTCGCAATTCTCTTTACCAGCTGGATCTGGGGCGTCGCAAATCCGTCTTGGACGGTACTCTTCAAAATCCTTGTCATAGTCTGCGGTGTCGCATTGGCCAGTGTTGGCGAGATCCATTTTCGATGGATCGGGTTCTGGTGCCAGATGGGTGCGATCGTATTCGAAGCAATACGGCTGGTCATGACCCAGGTCCTGCTCTCTGGAGACGGCCAGAAAATGGACCCATTGGTCAGCCTATACTACTACGCACCCGTATGCGCTATCATGAACTTCGCTCTGGTATGGGGCACCGAGATGGCAACCTTCAAGATGGACGACTTCGTCAGAGTTGGGCCGGTCGTCCTGATAATCAATGCTATCGTGGCTTTCATGCTGAATTTGGCCAGCCTGTTTCTGGTTAGTGTCTCCCGGCCCAAGAACAGGATGGGGTCTCATTCGCTAACTGTGGTCTAGATTGGCAAGACAAGTAGTTTGGTGCTGAGTTTGACTGGGATTTTCAAATCCATTCTGCTCGTTGTCGCCGCAGTTTTGTTCTGGGGCACTCCAATCACCCCGCTCCAAATGTTTGGCTATAGCGTGGCACTTGTGGGGATTTTCTTCTACAACGTGCCACTCGAGACCGTACAAGAATTCGTAACGGAGATGAGGAAAGGGATTGTGTCTATTTCACCGTCATCATCATAGGCCTCGGTGCTCACCTCACAGTTGACCAAGTTCCACCCAATCCAAGATCAAATTTGGCCAAGTCGGGCTGCTGTGTATCCTCGCCAGTCCGAGGAGGGCCAAGTAGTGATCTCATCCGCGAGTATTGTTTAAATATATAGATAAACGAAATGACGAGCACGTTAAGATTTCAGGATACACTCCAAGCGCGGCGTTCTAGTCAACGCCGTCGTCAAGATGGTGCCCCTTAGCCTTGTCTGTGCGTCGCAAGGCTAAGGCTATAAGCACTTATCATATTATAACTACTATTATCAACATTATATTCTTTCTAAGCACTAAGTTTAGAGTGCTTACTACTACATAAAGGCGCTATTTCACGGTGTTCTAATTAATATTATTATTAAAATAATACCTTTTAACTTTATTTATATATTATAAAGTTAAAACTATAAATATTTATTATATTATAATTATTATTATTAATATTATATATTTTTTAAATATTAAACTTTAAATATTTATTATTATATAAAGGTGTTATATATATATCCTTAAATATATATAAAATAGAAGTAAAATTATATAAAAACGTTATATATATCCTTAAATATATATAAAATAAAAGTAAAATTATATAATTAAACTTAATTAACTAAGCTAACTAATATTTATTACACACTCCTTTTAAGTATTAAAAGAGAACTTAAACTTCTTCTTAATATTAATAATATACTATTTATTTTACTTATTAGAAAGGTTAGAAGGGGACCGATAGTTAATGCCTAACAGGGGTTACCTACTTTATATTACCTAAGGATCACAATAAGATCTCTTAAAAAGTTTTAAATAGCGTGTTATATGCGAAATGGCTTGGAACACATTGTAAAAATTGTTCTTCTCCCTTCTGTAGAATCGGAGATGTTACTACCTAGGTACCACTGTCTGGTTGATCAAAGTTATCGGGAACAGCAAATACAATAAAGAACAACGGCCACAGGGTCAGTGATAAAACACAACAACCATTCGTGTAGTTTCTTAAAAGCGTGAGACGTTGGTGAATTGATATTAGAAAGCGTCATCTGATCAGGTACCGACCGTACGGTTATGATAGTACCTAGGTAACCCCGTAATCAAATCCTGCAAAGATCAAAGGGCAGGGGCCCCCGGACACAAACTAATGCACGTAACCGGTGTAAGTCACTTCACATGTGTGTGTATATATAAGTGCCTGCTCCCCTACTTGTTGTTGCTACCTTGCCCATTTACTCACCCCTTCATTGACCTCTCAAGTATCGCCTTAGCAAGTCTTTCCCGCCGGCCTATACAACACCACCTTCCGCGATTCCCTACCAAACAAGGATGGCGGCCACCGAGACAACCAAGAACCCCCAAACAATGCCCGCAGCATCATGAACGCTCGCCCCGGCTACTGTCGACGATATGGAGGCCCTCGTCGCGGTTCACACAGCCGCCTTCCGATCTGATCTCTTCTCGCACCTGATGCTGCTCGGCCGACCCGACGGCGCACATCGGACCCTGATGCGCAACACGCTGGAGCACTGGTTCGATAACCCGCGTGCCAGCCTGACCAAGGCCGTCGATGCTGACGGCCACATCGTCGCATGGGCCTGCTGGGTCCTGAGGGAAGACGACCCGCCTCCGGCGCAGAAGCCCACGGCTGCCTCGTCCCAAGAAACGGCAGCACCACCCAAGGAGCCCACGACAACGCCAGCACCAGCGGCGACCAGCACAGCCCTCCTAACGAAGACCCCGCCCGGGCGCTGGGCGGGCGCATGCGCGAAGACATGCTCCAGCGTGAGGCGGCGCACATGCCGCGCGCCACGGCGGGGGGTGGCTGCTTGGTGCTGCAGGCACTGGCGACGGAGCCGGCCCTGCAAGGCCGAGGGATCGCGATGCAGTTGGTGCGGGCGGGCACGGAGCGCGCTGACGCCGAGGGCCTCCCGTGCTGGGCGCACGCGTCGCCGGCTGGGCACGCCCTGTATTCTCGCAATGGCTTCCACGAGGTCGCGCGCGACGACTACAACCTGGCCATGTGGGCGCCTGGCGGTGAGGGGACGGGTCGTGGATGGGGCACGTATACGTTTCGGTACATGCTGCGGCCGGTTGGAGGGCAATGAGTGCGTGGGACGTTGAAAACTGGAGAGGGGGGAAGAATTGAGGAGGGCAGATGGAATGATGGGGTACACGATGATGTGTGCTGAAAGGTGCTCGAGAATTCTCTGGGGCTTTCATAGCTGATATCAGCGTCAATTGCACTCATACTCTGATTGATTCCAATAGACTGTCTGGGTACGCACATGGCCCGCAAGCTGGGAGTCCTTAAAGCTGATACTTAAGTAGTCCGCCCGCATGGGCTTGTAGATACAGTGCCCTATCATGCTCCTTTAGCACCGGGGACAGATATCTTGGTTATCCGAGGACGAGAGCATATGGTAGATGATGGCGTGCATCAAAGCTGCACGGTCAAGGGATCCCGAGTACCATCTCCACTCATCAAGGCCGCATTGACAATCATGCCAAATGGCAACTCATTCGATGAGCCGAAAATAGACTGCAACAGCCCTCGCGCTTCTTGCAACATGATATGCCAGACCATAGAGCACGCCGCAAAGACACCTCTGGCTCTCATGAATACACTGGCATATGCTGCCTCGGCGCCATCATCATATGGTATAACTCGCTGGCCATAGCCAGCGTGGATATGTCCGAAGACAACAAGCCGCGGACGGACCCGCCATATCTCTTTGAGAAGCTGCGGGCAGCCCTTTCCGCCATTATCAAGGTACCCTCTAGGTGGCCATGCACAAGAATAACGTCTGTCTCGTCGGGAATCCTGTTGTTCCATACGTCGCGGATGGGTGGATACTGGAAGGCGAATGTGCCGCATTGCTCTGTGAGGGGCGACCCGTAGATGGAAAGAGTGCGACAGCCGGGAAGACGGAGGTCGGTCGTAGTATCGTTGAGATAGATGAGATCGCCCCAATCGAGGTCGCTGCGGGATGTGCCCGGGCCCTCGTAGATGCGGTCCGGAAAACGGTCAACGTATTCTGCGTCCAACAGACGATCGTGATTGCCGGCGACGACGACTTTGTGCTTGTGTGGGAGGGATTTAAGCCAGTCCAGCTGGGCCTTCAGCTCTTCGAACGTGCCGTTGTTTGTGAGGTCACCGGCGTGGAGGAGTATGTCCGCGTCTGGTACGCTGGGTTGTTTATTATGCGTATCTGATATACAGACAATGCGAATCGGAGGAGTCCCTGCCGGCGGTGAAACAGATGCACAGTCTGCTGGTGCTGTCCTCCTCTTGTCTAGCCACTGGACAAGGAACTCAGCCGGGGCGCGGCGGAACCTCTGCCACGGCGAGAGCTGGATCTGCCAGGGAAACACTGGTTTTCCTATCTTGGGTTTTGCAATGTGCGACATTGTGCTGATTCAGAGGTAATGTCGCCGGCTGCTTGGTTCAATACAGCCAACGACCAGTAATGCTTCCAGTATCCCGGGAGTGAAACCGTGGACCACAGACCCCTTGTCGATGAGGGACGTGATGCTTTAGCATTTGGGAGGCATGCCTGCTTCAGCACATTTGTCGGAGTGGTTATGTATTAATAGATGGAATCTGATAGGCTTATAGCTTGCGAGTGTAAATTGAAGATGCTCCTGATGAGAGCCTGGTGCCGGTGTGGGACAATATCCGTAGGCGAGAATGATGAGATGCATTGTCTGGTCCGGGCAGGCAGGGAGGTGATGTACACGAGCATTCGTTTCGCAGCTGGTGAGAACAGGGTGATTTGAAACGTGTTAAATAATAGTGCTTGCATCTCATGCAAAATGTACGTGTGGTTTCCATATCAAAACGTTCATGGTCGCGCATTCCGGCGAAGCCCTGATATCGTCAAAGCTCTCCAGAGGCACAAAGTCCCTCCTGTCATTGTCCCAGTGTGGAATCGCAAGGGGTTGCGCCAGAGCCGGCACGCGCGCAACCCAGTCGGGCTCTTGCTCATATTTTCGTTCCTGGGCCTTCCATTCGTCCAGCTGGTCGTAGGTGAAGATGGGCGGAGCTGAGCGTGGCAGACCGAGTTCGATCCTCTTATTGAACGCCAGGCACATCAGCTTGGGAATGCACGCAAGGCATGCGAGACGCTCAGGGTCTGGGTCGTGCGGATCTGGTATGTCTCGGACGGCCCAGTCCTGCTGCCACCAGAAGGCCTCGATCTCGTTTCGGATCTCGATGTGCTGGTCGAGGACGAGGTGCTCATAAATGCGGTAAAGGGCTGCTAGAGGAGTGTCGTTGGACCGATCCACTCTCCGCCTGAGGAGTGGGACCTCGGCGATGACGCGATTGGCGATGAGCTCTCGCGGAGACAGCGGGAACGTGTCCGTCTTGTCAGAACTGTCCTGCGCGTCATCTTTCGCGTCGCATTGCTGAGCCTGTCGTTCTGGTCTCCGAAGCTGGAGCCAGCGTGTTACGGGCGCAAGAGGGCACCAGCCCATTATCAGGCAACCTGCGATGGAGCGGGTACACTCTCAGACGTCAGAAGTGATAGATGAGGGCCTCCAACTTCAATAATCGCGGGAGCTAGTATGGGCCGCGCCTTAGGGCCGCCTCTGGGCCGCCACTATCTATAATAAGTGAAGTAATGCCTGTGAGTGTGTGTGCGTGGGTGACTGGAGGCCCCACTGGCTGCCTGCTTACCTAGGTACCTAGGTACCTAGGTACCTAGGTAGTCATCCAGTGTGGCCTATTCACCCACACCCTCTAGGACCTAAACCTTCTCCCTGTGATCCCTTCAAACCTTTCCCCTTATATAGAAGGTAGTACCGTCTTAATAAGCCAACGTCCACTCACCCAGCAATTCTATCCACTCACCTAGTTTCTACTAACCACTTACCTAGTACTAAGTTTTCTAAGCAACTCCTTTATATTTATAAGTACCTTCTAAGTTAGTGTTAAAGACTTTATATATTACTTCTTTCTTTAAATTTTTAAAACTTTAAGTATAAACCTCTTTTAATATTCTTTCTAGCACTCTTTTTATATATATTATTATATATAAAATTTAATATATAATTATATTTATAAAATATTATTTTATTATTATTTATAATTTTAATAATTTTTATTTAATTTATTATAATATTTAATTATAATAATTAAATAAAGTTTATAACTATTATTAATAAAAATAATATAAAGTTTTTTTAAAATATTTAATTTTTAAATTAAAAATATATATTTTAATTAAATTTATAATAATTTATATTTTTCTAAAAATATTAATTATATATTAATTCATTTTTATTATATTTTTATATAATAATAATATTTTATAAAACTTTATTTATTTAAAAGTTTTAAATATTATAAGAAGAATATAAGAAAGATAAAGCTTTTAAGTTTTATTTAAAATTATGAAATTTTAAATAATATTTAATTTATTTTTTTAAAAAAAGAAAGGAAAGAAAGAAGCTTTTAAAAATTTTAATATTAAAAGAGTTTTATTAAGGTTATAGGCTAAACGTTTATAGGACTAATTAGTAAGTCTATATACTCTACTTATCTTATTAACCTAAGTGGCCTCTATACTTTTTACAATACAAGATTATAGCTTCACTACCTCCCCTATACTATTCCTTAAGTAACTCTAGTTTTAAATTGATAATTCTTTATAGATAATTTAAGCCTTCTTTTACTATAGGTTATAAAGACTGTTTTAAATTTAAAGCTTTAAAAATTATATATAACTTATATATTTAATTACTTACTTTAATATTTAATTTAATATAATTATATAAAATATTTATAAAATATTAAAATAAAATAATTATTTAATTAATAATTAAAATAAAATTAAAATTAAATATAATTTTAATTTAATTATAAAATTAAATTTATTTTTAATTAATAATATATAAAAAATAGTTTTTAATTAAATTTCTTTAATATAATTTATTTATATAATAATTATTTTTAAATTTAATTTTATTATATAATCTTTTATAATAATTAAATTATAAGTTATTTTTATTTATAATTTTAATTAATATTATTATTAAAATAATACTTTTAATTTTATTTATATATTATAAAGTTAAAATTATAAATATATATTATATTATAATTATTATTATTAATATTATATTTTTAAATATTAAGTTTTAAATATTTATAATTATATAAAAGTATTATATATATTTTTAAATATATATAAAATAAAAGTAAAATTATATATTATTTTAATTTTTATAAATTTTATAATATAAAATTTATTAATATAAAATTTAAAATAAAACTTAATTATTATTTAATATAAAAGTATTATTTTAAAATTAATATAAATAATATAAAAAAGTATTAAATATTTTAATTTAAATAAAATAAAGTAATATATTAAATATATTATATAAATAACTTTTAAAACTTAAAACTATTTTTAAGGATAAAAGTTTTAAAAGTTTTATAAATAAAATTAAATTAAAAGCTTTATAATAATAATACTTCACTTTTACTTACTTACTCTATTTATTTACTTTAATAGTATATTACTACTTCTATTTAAATTAACTAATTAAAAGTTAAGAATTAAAGTTAGAGTTAATATTAGTTAAAAGAAGCTTAGTTAATTATATAAGAAATTAAAAGAAGTAATTTTAATTAATTAAAAGCTTTAAAAATAAAAGTTTTAACTTAAATTAAAAGTATTCTTTTATATATTTATTAAAAGGTAAAGTTATTAAAAATCCTAACTTATATTCTTAATTTTTTAATTAATAAAAGTTTAAAAATACATAAATATAATTATTAAATCTATAAAAATTTAAGTTATATTTTAATATTATTTTTATAATAAATTAAATATTTAATTTTTTTAATATAAATTTCTAAGTTTTTATTACTTTTTAATTTTTAAAAAGTTATAAAACTTAAAACTATTCTTAAAAGAATAGTCAATATTTAATATATAATTAATTTACTTTATAGTCTTTATAAACCTACTAAGTATAGTTTCTAAGAAAAAGAACTTTACTAGTAAGCTTAGATAAGTCAATGGGCTAGGTTCACAACCTAAGTATATTGGTCTATGAAATCATGGTCACCAGCCCTTGAATTACAGTCACCTCGAGTGGCTATCGCGGGGCAACCAAGCAAGTATCCACCGAAACTTACTCGTAGATTGGACTAACGAGTTGCCAACACACGGCACCAAACATCACGCGGGGCCTTCCTTGGACCGCTACTTCTTGACATCCGGCAGGGCGCCTGGCTTCGGCCCGATCTTGTCCCCCTTCATCGGCTTCGGAGGGGAGGCCACATCTTTCCTGACGAACGGCTTCTTCGTGGCCTGGACAGTGGCGGGTGGTGCCGTACGACTGGTTGGGGGAGGAGCTGTACGGCCAGCAGTGGTTGGAGCAGCGGCGGGACGGGACGGGAGCTTCTTCCTATCCATCTTGGGCGGTGGAGAGGTTGTTTTGCCTTGAAGTGTGCTTCAAAGTTGGGGTTCTTGCGCTTGTTAGCCCGCGTCTAGCGTTTTCAAGGGCCCAGACTTGCAAGTGTGTGCCTTGGTGGGACTCTGAAGGACTGTCTCTAAATATGTGGAGGTAGTGGTGTGAAGGATCTGATGAGGCTTTTGAACTTGATGCTGAAGGTATGAGTTGGGGCATCTTTATAGGATGAAGTGGTGCAAATAGAGATATATCAGAATGATGATGTTGGGCTTGAGGTTGACTCATGTTCGGCAAAAGGAATTGTTTCGGGGCCCCAGGGATGGATGTGATGGAGGGGAGGCCTGGAGGTGTGGGTGTCTAGGCCATGATTATGGCTATCTTTACCTAGACGTAAGCGGCTTTATTGAGGAACTTGGGTCTTTTGGCTGTGTTTTAGGCCGGTGGGGGCGCTCAGTCTTACATGCAGAAGATGCCTTCTTGGCCCGTACTCACGTACCAATGTGCTTTTTGAACCCCAATGCTGCAGGTTTCATTCCCAGGGCCAGACCAGCAGACGACCCCATGGACAGGCCTGAATCGGAATTAGAAATCATCGAGATACCAAAATTAACTTGATCCTTCCATCCACCATATATGGGTCCGCACAGTCAGATCTCGACTCGTAGATGAGGCTATTTCAAACTGGGGCGTTTGACCATTTTCAGCGACAACTGTCCACATTTGGAAGATGTTGCGCTGTAACGGTTACACAAAGGGAATCGGGACGACTTGGGGTTCCTGAAGACCTGATCTCGCAGCACATCATGATTCCATGTCACAGATACCGCGTAGAGCTATGTAGCAAATTTCCGTCATTCTAAGAGGTAGTCTCTAATACTACTTGCCATCAAAAGAGGGTCTGAGCGGCTCGTCATTGTCGAGCAATACTACATCACCGGCACTCTCTGATTATTCTCGGAGTGTGAAAGAAATGAACTGCATTTGCTACTCTGTGAAGCTCAGTTTCTTTTCGATGGGCGCAAACTGAGCCGAATTACTCCCCCCGAAACATTTCACCAGCCACTGCTGACGCAGCTTCGGCCTGGCGTTCCACTCTTTCGGCCACCAGCCCCAGAGCTCTGGCAGTGATTCGTGCCAGTACCTCTCCATTGGGTTCAGGGGAAGCTCCGCCTTCGGATAGTGGTGAGGCAGAAATCCCATCGTTGTTTTCTGCCACACGATTGATGTGTTGTAGTCTATCAGCACGACGCGCGGTGCGGGCCCATCTGGATTCAGAGCCGTCTGTCCCTGTGGCGGAACAAGAAAGATATTGCGGGCCGCCAGGTCCCTCTGGTCGACACCGATATGGTTTTGTATGACCTCGCCCTCCAGGAACCTTGCTAGCACCTCTAGGCGCCATTTCTCATTCATGTGATGGGCATTAGGCTCCACGTCCGGAGTGGATGTACTGGTCTGGTAAAGGTCCCTCATAGATGCCCCAGGAAGCTTCTCCATGAGTATCAGGCGGACTTGCCGTGTGACGACCTTCCCATTGTGCCGAATGGGGAGGGAGAAGGTCCATGAGCCATAATAACGCGGGGCAAAGCCCCCGAGCTGGATACCGGTCTTCAAGTCCCTCATGTACTCGTATGCCGCGACCTCACGACTATAATCCATGTCCGCTTCCCAGGTTGGGTCGTCGGGTTTGTCAGGGAAGTCCTTGTTCGCAAATGAGTAGTATAGTGCGTCGTAGATCTTGGCCACGGCTGTGAAGGTGGTGGTTTTGGCGCCGGGGGTCTTGGCCGCCGGTAGTTCAACCGAGCAGGCGACGACCTGTGCACCGCGAGCGTCGGCGACGGCGATGTTGCCGGTGATGGTGAGCCGGGCGGATCGGGGTTCTACTGATGAGGTTACGGTCGCAGCCTCAACCGGAGGGTTTTCCACAACGAGCCTTGTCTGGGTTACTTGTTTCAAGTTGGCGTCGGGTACGCGCACTCGTGGACTTGGGCTTGGGCCGTAGAGGTTGTGCCCAAAGGGCTCCGGCGCCGTGTGGCTCAATAATTCTAGCGTGAGGTCGGGCTGGTACGGGCAAGGCGGCTTCTCAGGGTCTGCGGGCGGTTTCCACTGGGGAGGAAATTGTCCCCAAGAAAGAGATGGAGGGGGCATGATATTACTAAGATGAATGGATGGATGGCTTGGTTGGGTTTGTGATTTTGGAGATGAGCTTCGCGGCTGGATTATGCGGGGTTTTCGGTCGTTGGGTGTCGAGGTGACAAGGTGGAACTTTAGGGCGCGAAAGAGCTATGAGATGCTCATTAGACAGCTGCCATACATGTGTAAATCCCCAGGTCGGTCGCAAATATCTATCTGTAAGCCTTGAGAAGGCCGACTTCAGGACGTTGTGGGGGTTGGCGCGTGCAGTGACATTTCAAAGTGCCAATGCCAAGTACATACCTAGGTACCTAAGTTACTCAAGTAGGATTCCGAGACTAAGCCTCATCGGGGTACACCCCTAGTGACAACCCGTGAGACACCAGACGAGCCGAGTTCTGGGGCCAAAGTCCTCATAGGATGGAGGATAGCAATTCTGTCACCAATATCCACACATACACGTGGTCTACTTGTGAGGGACCAGGAGCCCAGCTGAGATTAGAGGGCTTACAATTATGGTAGCGTGGGGGCCATCTCCCCCATGCCATATGTCACGAGTGGTGTGGTCAAGTGACATTTATCCCTGTAGCTCGCGCGACATTCAAATATAATATTTAAATGTCGCGCCACCTTTTTCTACATTTAAATAAAAGCCTTAAAATTATTTAAATATATCCCTAGACCCTAACCTCTAACTCTAACCCTAACCACTAACTCTAACACTAACCACTAACCCTAACACTAACCCTAGGGGGTTCCCCCCTAGAACCCCCCTCTAACCCTAGTATATTTAAATATATAAAAAGGTAGTACGATATTTAAATATAGAAAAAGGTGGCGCGATATTTAAATATAGATTTTACATACTTAAAGATTTAAATATAATATTTGAATGTCACGCGAGCTACAGGGATAAATGTCACTTGACCGCATCCCACATATGTCACAGATGCAAAAGCATAATACTAGTAAGCAGCCTCACGGGGCTGTAAACGTCTGAGGATCTCAAATAGACACAAATACCCGTGGGGCGTTTCCATCCAGGGGGGGTCATCTCAGAAACAAAAATAGGTAGGCCCTGTAAGTGGGTTGATGGATCAATCGCAGGCCGGAGAGACTCCGTCCACGATGATGTACACGGGCTTCGAGAGCCTTGTCTGCCAACGTACTGGCCTCTGAGAGAGAAATTCAGGGCAACACAGACCGTGCACCGGCACACGGTCGTGGCTTATTTGGATTGATATAATACTGCAAGTTTCCTCAACAAATTCACAGTAAACAGAATCACCAGTCCAGCATCATATCACAGACCCTCGAGCTTCAATCCTCTGCCTACATTGCAAGGTTCCTACTTTCCAGTCTACTTATTCCACCACGCACCTTCGCTCCACCCTTTCCAAGACAAAAATGGCCCAGAACATACCCACAATTAGGGGGAGCTTTCAGGTAGCTCTTCCATCCTACCAGAATAATGGAGATCCGAGCCCGTCTGTCTCAGCCTCTGGAGAATCAACCAGGGCAATGGACCCGCCCAAATTTGCACAAAGCGTGCAGCCTAACATCTGGGCAGCCACCGGTACCACGTGGCTGACCACTATACCACCAAACACTACTGCGATCGACGTCGAGCGCATCGCTGCCGAGGACACATTCGCCCACCGGAACGAGGGCGATGTCGTCCGTGCTGCGGCTCTCCACCTGCTCCATCCGGTGCATCAAGCATTCTCTGCGCGCAACGGGATCGGGAACACGTACCGTTGCCAGTCAGAGTTCACCCACCAGAAGGTCCGCGGCGACATCACGTACTACAAGAATACCCAACAGGGACCCCGCCAGTGCGCAGTCATCGAGTTCAAAAAGCGTGGTTCTATCCGCCCAACCGAGTTCCTGGCCGCGGTCAAGTGCAACCAGCCGCCGAGCGCACAGCAGACCCAAAACTTTGTCCAGGCGGCTTACGCAAGCAGGAACACGGACTATACTTTCTTCACCGACAACTCCAGAATCTTGATCAAGCAGGCCGCTTCATACGCAGTGGCACACCAGATTCGTTGTGTTGCCCTGTTTGACTATGATTTCCTCGTTTTTGTCGAATTCAACAACGTGACTGCCAATGCAGTTGGGGACTACTGCGAGACGACTATTATCCCGGTCGCTAATAATACCATCGTGCGGCCCGCGCTACTTGCTTTCCTAGCACATGCTTACAACCAGTTTTGAAGATATAGAGCTTACGAGAGTTCTCGACTGAACGCTTATGGGGAGGTTACATCAGATCTGAACCTGATCACTGGTATGGATAACAGGGAAGCAGCGATTTGGACAAACTCTACATGTATAGACGAAATATCAAGATATCTTTTGGTTGAGCTTTACCTAGTACTGGTAACACTCGTACGTAGAGGGTAGCATCAGTAGCGGATAGGTCAGTTATATTGTAGTAGTGGCAGTGGTAGGCATTAATTCTAACTAACTTTAACCCTACTACATATGTATTATCCTCTGCTGCTGAAATTCATATTTCTCTTCTCGCTATATCTATACTATTTAAATCATTAGGAAAAAGGTGCTACCGCGGGAAAATAGAACGTTAGAGACTTATGTCTAATGTTATAGTTCACGTGGGAAGACATCAATGATTGGAAGGAAACCTACCTAGATAGTATCACCATCTTCCACACATCACAAAAAGACTTTTTAAAAATTGTCTGTAGCTTTGAAGAAATACTGAAGGACATTATTTTCACTACTCTCCTATTTACTTCCAAACGACGTTCTTTCCGCGGAATGCGTCGCTAACACCCATAATTCAAACAACAGTGCAAGTCCTCAAGAGATGAAGTGAAGCAAATCTTTGTGGTCCGGTCGCATAATTGTGACACTTGTGGTTCGATGTTGTTTCGAGAACCTTGTCAACTAACCACGTTGAAAACAGTGCATGTTCATCTGCGGCTCCATCTCAGCGGTGCTCGCTCGGGATGCAGCATCTGCAGAAGGAGGACTGGCGCAGAGTCCGTCTCGATCAGATGCAGAACTCTCTTTCTGGAAGCCTCGGGTGTCTCTCCGGCCATCGGCACCGGTTCGACACGATGATCTCGGAACAACGTGGCTAATGTTGCTACGAACTCCACTTGCGAGAACTTCCTTCCCGGGCAGTCCCGGGCACCCCCAGACCAAGCCACATACGTGCCTCGCTGAGGTGTAAGAAGTTCCTCATCGCACAGAGCGGAACTGTCCGAACTTTGATCATGAGCCTCGATCCAACGAGACGGGCGCCACTGAAGTGAGTCGGTGCCCCACCATTTTGGATCCGTCTGGAGTGCAGCGTAACTGGGAATGATCATCGTCATAGGTGGGATAACAATGGTCTTTCCTTGTCTGCCCACTCTCAAAGTCTGTGCGCTGGTATCGGTAAATTTGGAGGTCGGAACGGGCGTATAGATACGCAAAGTCTCCAGCATTACTGCCAGACAACGCCTCAACCTTGGAAAATCCAGCTCGTACTCCATTTCTTGTGTATATCGTGTACCTGCCACATGACGGATCTCCTCATTGATCCAGTCCTGCACTTCCGGAAAGGCTGCCAGGAAGTAGAGAGCGAATGTGAACGTGTGTGCCGTAGTATCATGCCCAGCGAAGTTAAAGGTGAACATGTTGCCATAGATCTCGCTCTCCGTCAGGTGAACACCACTACTGTGTCCCTGGTTCTCGCCTTGTGATGCGCGAACAAGCAGCGTTAAGAAGTTCTGGTCTGCGGGTTGGGATTCACCAGCGCCCAGAACACGCTTCTCTTCTTCGTAGGCTTCCGTCATGTGCTGTTGGAAAGACACACATGCTTTATGTAGAGACCGAAGCTTTTGCGGAAGCCAGGCCTTGCTCAGAAACTTTGGCCCAAAGACAAAGATCAGAACGCAGTTATCCAGGATCATTTTGAGAGAGTCCTTATAGTTCATCGTCGGCCCGTTTGAGTCGTTTGCACTGTCCTTTGTCCGGCCTTGGAACTTGAAGGACCTTCCGAAGCCAGCTCGAGACATGACATGGAGAGCCAGGGTTCGAGTATCATCAGCTGTCGTCTTTACAGACCTCTCAGATATCCAGTATTGCAAAACATCGGACGCTACGTTGATGCTCTCGGACCAGACAATACGATTGTTCTGGTCATTGAAAGAATTATTCACGAGCCTTCGGTGTCTGCGCCACTGCTCTCCTTGTGACTAAATCAACCAGTCAGCATTTTGGAATATCCGATTGTAGAGGCTACTAAGGATCAGGATAGACTGACTGTGGCGATGTTTTCACCGAACACATCGAGCATCGCTGTTGTGGTGCCAGGCCGAAGTCAGTTCAGGAACACAAATGACAATCCCGTCAGAATAGTGCTCACCAGTAGCGGAGGTCTCTCGGGGGAAATCTCTCCCTCTCTTCCAGATCTCCGTGACAATTTCAGGGTCCCCAATATACAGCCAGTTCCTCACTGGCGTGACATGCATCCAAACATCGCCCATCTCGTGATGGGAATGGTACCTGTCTTGAAGCTCCCATGCGCGAAAATTGTACCTGGTGAAGCTATTGTCACCAAGTCCGAATGGGAGACGCCTGAAAAACGCAAGGACGGGTCGGTCGAGAAGCATCCATAGTGGATTGTTGTGGCTGATGGGGATTATGCGAAGCGGCACACCGACCTTCGTCGCCTGAAAATAATTCAGTGCAAGACAAAGGCACGAGTGTAGCACCAGTCCAAAGACGAGGAGCAAGATGCCCAGAGCTGTAGCTGACAGAACGTGCATCGTGGCCTGCGTGTAGATCGACCTGATTGACTATGATTCCTTATCATTCAAAATGGGCAAAGTGGATGTAGTGCAAAATTGATGAGCAAGGAATGCATTGGAATGAAGCTTTATAGCAATTGAGGATAATGAAGGGGCCAGCAATTATCTTAAATGTTTAGATGCCCTTGGCTAGGCCTGCAGCCTAACCGTTATTCACGTAATATATAAGCGTAGACTCTCCATCTAGAATAGGTGGGGAGTTTGCATATATAAATTATCCATACTATTAAGTACCCTAATATTAAGGTGAGGATATATATAACTTAATATAAATTTTCTACCTATTTTGGGTAGGGATTTTATACCTTATAGTAATTTTGTAGCTAGATTAATTATTAAATAGTATTTAAATATAAATAAAGAATATTTAAAACTAAAATATAAAAAATTTAAATTAAAGGAACTAAATTATATAAAAAGTAAATATACACCTAGTTATTACTTATTAATAATACTATTACTAGAAGCTAAAATTATATTAAAATAGCTATTTAAATTATAATTTTAAATAAAAATTTTTATTTTTACTTTTATTTTATTTTAAGTTATTTTTAAAAATTAATTATATTTATTTAATATTTTAAATAAAAAATTTAAATAATATTATTAATTACCTATATTTAAATTTTTAATTAACCCTTTTAAAAATTTAAAAATATAATAAAAAACTTTATTAAATAAAAACCTAAATATTAATTTTATTTTAATATATAGTTTAAATATAATTAAAATAAATATATATATAAGTATTTATTTTATAAACTTTTAAAAGTTTTTTATAAGATTTTATTTTATAAAGCTATAATTATAATTAAGTATATAACTAGTTATTTACTAGCTTATAATAGTTAAATTAAAGTTATTATTATATTATTAAAAGTAAAATATAATATTAATTGCTATTATTAGATATAATAAAAATATATTTTAATATATATTTATAAGGCTATAAAATAAAATTATAATTTATTTTATATCCCTTATTAAGCTTGGAAAGAGTAGATTAAAATATTATATTTAATATAGCTAGTTTATACCCTATTTAGGTTAATATAAACTTATATTTAAAGGTATATATAGCTATTATTTTATATTATAAACTTTTATTTATTAAAGATAGGAAATTTATTATTTTAAATATTATTTATATTTAAATAAAATCTAGCTATATAAAGGAAAATAAGCTATAAAAATATATTTATATTATAATAAGTTTTAAATAGGTATTAAATACCTACTTTATAAAGCTTTATTATAACCTATTATTTAATAATATAATTAATATTATAGTTATTAATAAGATATATATAATTACTATATAAAAGAAGTTTTAGTCTACTTTTTCCTTATTTATTAAATTAAATTACTAATATTATAATTAATACCTTTATTTATATATATAACTATATTTAATTAGGTTAATTAGAACTATATATTTAAATATATAAGGCTAAATATTAATAATACTAAAATAATTTATATTTTAGTTAATTAATTTAAGTTATTAATTATTATATAGTCTTTTCTTTATAAATATTTATTTAATTTTATATATTTATATTTTTATTTAATAAAGTAAATTTTATTAATTTTATAATTATAGCTAAGACTCTTATATATATTAATAATAAAATTAGCTTTTTAGGCTTAAAACTTTTATTAAGTACTTTAAAATAAATATAGCTTTTAAAATAAATAGGTTATAGACTTTATAGGTAGTTTAATATAAATATTTAAAAGTTAAATTAGAATTAGATATTTAAAGAGTATAAAAAGTTGGATTTTAAATATTATATTATATTATTAATTATATTATTTAGTATTAAATTTAATATTAATAATATTAGTATTATTATATAGTTTAACTTATTATAAGAGTTAGATATTTTAAACTTATAATAGTATAATAAATATAGTATAAGGAAGATATTTAAATAAAGATAGTTTATAATATTTACTTTATTATTAATTTAACTATTTTAATATAAATAAAATATAACTTTAATAATTATTAAAATTTCTATTTTTAAAGCTTATTTAAAGACTAAGTATTAATTAACTTATAAAACCTAGCTGTTTTATTATATAATATTATTAAATAATAGTATTAAGGCTAAATAAATAGGCTATAAAATAAGTAATATAAAAGTAATATTAGTATAATTTTAAAAGTAAGTAATATATTTAAGGAGATTATAAACTTTTAATTTAAATAGAAAATAAGTAAAATAAGGCTTTATTATTATAAAATATTTAGAATATTAGGCCTATAAATTAGATAAAAGCTAAGATTAAATAATAAAAATAGCTAAATTTAGAGTATAAAGTATTTTTAAATACTAAATGCTTTTAAGTTTATATTATAAAATACTTTTAAGAGTTTAGTAGTATAGATTTTAAATATAAGAGATTAGTGAATTTAAAACTTTATTATAATAGTAAGGTATATTAAAGTAATAATATAATATTTAAAATATTATTATTTAATATTTACTAGCTTTTAGTAGTAAGAAGCTATATATAGATATTTTAAGTAATATTATTTTTAAGTTACTTTTAATATAATATATTAAAGAGGTCTAATATTTTATATTAATATTAATTTATTACTTTATATTTATTAATAGGATATTTATAAAGGATAAAGTTTAATATATAATTAATTATTTATATTATAGGGTTAGAAATAAGGGGGAATAGCTTAAATAGATTATATTAAATATAAATAGCTTTAAATAGCTTATAAAAAAGGTTTAGGCTTTAAAAAAGTAGGAATTTCTTAATAAAAAGAGTAATAAATTATTTAATTTATTATAAAATTAGGTATTAATAGTTTAAAAAAAGGTTAATATTAATTAAAAAAATAAATTAGAGAAAGGTAGGTTAGGAAAGTATTATATAATAAAAGAGTTAGTTAAAAGTAGTTTTAATAAGTGGTTAGTATAAGTAGATAAATAATATTTAAATAAAGTTTAGTTATTAGTATAATTAGGGTTTTATTTAAGTAATATAAACTTTTATTTTAGTATAATAAGGAGTTTATATTACTTAATATTATACTTTAAAATACTAAAAGTGCTATTTATAAGTATAATATTTTTAAGATAGTTATTAATAATAATAGTAGTAATAATAGTAATAGTAGTAGTAATTATAATAATAATAGTATATTTATATAGTATTTTCTTTTATATTTTATTTTATAGATTTAAAACTAATATTTTTAAGTAATATTTAATAATTTTAAAGTTATAAAAGAATAATAATAGAGGAGATAATAAAATAAATAATAGTAATCTTAATATATAACTTTTTTATAATATATAATATTAAAATTAATTAATAGACTTTTATTTATTTTTAATAGAAAGTTTACTAATTAAATTAAAAATATATATTATATTAATCTCTTTATTTTTATTAACCTTTATTAATTTAATTTATAATACTTATATAAAATTATATTAAAATATATATTTCTATTATTAAAAATATTATTTTATAATAAGGTTAAATAATTAATAAGTTAAAAACTATTAGATTTATTAATAGTTAATATATTTATTAATAATAACTATTATTATATAGAGTATAGCTTTTATATTAGGTAATACTTTTAATATATTATTTATTAATAAAATTTAATTATAGCTTTTATTTAAATTATTAGTAATATATTTAATTTAATATATAATAAATATTAGTTTTAATATAGTTTTTAATAAGGTTATATAAGGGCTCTAATTATTAAAAATTATTTTTAATAATAAAAGGTATTTATATAAATTATATATATAATAGTTAGAATAAAGCCTATTTCTTTTATAATATATTATAGCTTATTTAACCTATTTATTTTTATTTTAAATTAAAGAGTATTTAATATAAAGGAAAATAAAAAAAAGGGTAATATAATTATAGATATTAATAATAAGCTTATTAAGCTAATATTATTTTTAACTTTTTTTTTTAGTTTTAGTAACTTATTACCTTTAAATAATAAAGGTTAGGAGCCTTTATTAAATATAGGTAATAAGAAAGTTATAAATATAAATAAAAATAAAAGCTATTTAGATTTAGTATTTTAATATTTAGAAGGAAAAAAGGAGTTTTTTTTTTTTTTTTTAGGAAAGTAGGTAGAACTTAATAAGTAGGTTATTTATTTTATTAAGTATTATAGTTTTTAACGTGCTAAAGCTTATATTTAAGTACTTATTAAAGTACCTTAAAGCCGCTAACTAGTTATATAAAATTATTATTTTTATTATTAAATAAAGCTTTAAGTATATATATAGGATAAGTAGGGTAATTTATTTTATTTATATTATTAGTAATTTATTATTTTATAAAGTTAAATAAGGAAGAAAATATTAAGTTAATAAATAGGTTATTTTTTTTTAAATAAAAATTAAAACCTTATATTTTAATTTTATATATTTATATATTATTTTACTATTTTAATATTAGAAGTTAAGATATTAAGTATTATATATAAATAGTTTAGTTTTATTAAATAATAGTAGTTATTTAAGGAGGAAAATTTAGTTAGACTTTATTAAATAATAGTAATTATTATAATATTTAGCTTATTAAATATATAAAATTACTAATTAATATATATATACTTTTTATAGCTATATTTATATAATTATAAAATAAAGATAATTATAACTTAAATTATAATAAAATAAATTAATAAAAATTTAAATTTATATTATATTAATTATTTATATTTAATAATTAATAAATAGTATAGTTGGCTAGTAATTTACTTTATATTTTTAAAAATAAAATCTTATAATTAAAGTTTTAATTAATAGCCTAATTTAATAAAGTTAAAAGTATATATATTATTTATTATTATATAAATATTTAAATTATTAATTTATATTTTTAAATATTTTTAATTAGATTTTATAATTATAATATTTATATTATTAAA